ATATAACTACAGGAACCAGGTTAATGAAAGGAGCCAGGGAGGTAAAGGGAAAGAAGGAACCTGAGAGAGAAGAACAGTAGAAAACAGATGTTATTAAGGGAAAAATGGATAAAATGGGAGTATTTAAATGGGAGGGAGAAGGGAAGGTTATATAAGGAACTTTGGGAATAAAAAGAAATAAGGTGCTCAAGAGAGGTGGGACCATAAGAGACTGGTATTATCCAGGGAGAAATGGGGGAAACTGGGACACTTTCAGTAGGGAAGCCATGGTGAAAGGGTCAGACAGGAAAAGAGAGAGGAGAGATAAATAATGCCCAACTAGTGTAATAACGTAGAGGGAATCATATTTGTCCAACAACCTGATGACAAATATACATATAATATCTCTACATGAGTCCATGTGTATAGCTAAAGGCTACATAACAAGAAATAGCGCTAGACAGGAGAAACCTTCTTTTGAGTTGCTGGCCAGGGTGGCCCAAGGAATTCCTCAAATTAAGAGACTCCCAAAAATACACAGGCTATAGCCACAGCCCTTGATGGCCTCCCAGAACCTGATGACCCTACTGCTGAAAACAGAACATACTTCAGACAGGATTTGGGGCAATGGACCTGGAACCAACCTGGAAACCACTTTCCCTGAAGGCTAGCTCTCGTAGCTTTGGAAAGCACTATGAAGAGGCCAAGGGAAAACATCAATCAATGGTCCAACACCACCTTCAAAACCAAATAACCACATCAGTGGCCAGCATAATATACATCATTGGTGCAGTAGTGGGACTTTTATTTTGGGGCCAATCAACAGCTACCTAATTGGACCAAAAGCCCACTCAATGGGAGGAAACTCTAGCATGGTACTGTAAACATAACAAAATACACATAGCTAGAGAGGTCATCGATCTTAGAGAAAACCCCAAGACTGTTACATCCCCAGACTAATGTAATTTCTTGCTATGTGCAAAATATGTATCCTTATATTCATAGACAAATATCCAGCCACCACTCATCAAAGAAGTTTATTTTTGCACCTGTCGGAGACTATTACCAAGTACCACAACTGGTCACACACAGACATTGTCTATGAATTTCCCAGGCCTAAGTGACATATCTACAATGCAACCTCTCCATTTAAGGCACATGGAACATAGAACAGGGGTAATGAAGATGACACTAATGAATGTCTCAATTCTCATTAATGAAGATCCTTCATGCAAAAGAGGGACAGGAACACAAAAGGTCACAAATGACCAAAACAGAGATTAAGAGTTTGTAGATTGCTGGTCCATGGACAGGACTCCTATATTAAACTTCACCCACCCAACCACTCACCTTAGGGACCATCACAGAAGAGGGGGCAGAAAGATTGTAAGAGCCAGGGAGGAGGTACAGGACCATATGGAAACAGAGTCCTACAAGCTCCCGAGAACCTGCTTATATGATTACATGGCAAAGGTGTCAGCATACACAAGTCCCATGCAAACTCAGGCAGACAAAAACCCAGCATAGAACTGGGAAAATGAACAGCAGGCTCCAATCTTAACAAAGAAATATTGGCAACTGATTGCTGCCAGGTGAAGAAGAGCTGATCTTCCTAAAACAAGGAACTCTAGATAGGCTGACTAGACCTCAGTGAATGGACTTGTACTGGGGAACGTCTGTGGACCCTGACTTGACACAGTGGGCCTTAAAAGGGATGACAGAGTATATGGACTCCAGCTGGGGGAGCTCTAGGAAGGTGCCAGTGGGGACAGAGGTATAAAGATGATTAAGAATGCTTGAGGCCAGCCACTCTGCTCTGATCACTCTCCTCAGTGTCCACAGTACCGCCTGTTCCCTTCCTGTGTGGGAACCAGTGGCCAGAATTCACCATGTCTATTCTCAAGATCCATGCCAGAGAGATCTTTGACTCTCTCAGAAATCCCACTATTGAGGTTGACCTCTACATTGCAAAGTCTCTTCCAAGCTGCTGTGCCCAATGATAAGACAGGCTACATGGGGAAGGGTGTCTCAAAAGCTGTTGAGCACATCAATAAAACTATTGCACCTGCTCTGGTTGACAAGACATAACACAGTAGAGCAGATGAAGATTGACATACTGATGACTGAAATCAATGGAACTGAAAATAAATCTAGGTTTGGCGGGAATGCCATCCTGGAAGTATCCCTGGCTGTCTGCAAAGCTGGTGCTGTAGAGAAGGGTGTGCCCCTCTACTGACACATTATGGACCTGGCTGGTAACCCTGAAGTCATCCTGCCAGTCCCCGCTTTCAGCATGATCAATGGTGGTTCCCACGCTGGCAACAAGCTGGCCATGCAGGACTTCATGATCCTCCCCATGGGTGCTTCCAGCTTCCAAGAAGCCATGAGCATTGGAGCAGAGGTTGACCACAACCTGGAGAATGTCATCAAGGAGAAATATGGGAAAGATGTCACCAATGTGGGTGATGAAGGTGGGTTTGCTCCCAACATCCTGGAGAACAAAGAAGGCCTGGAGCTGCTGAAGAATGCAATTGGGAAGGCTGGCTGCACTGACAAGGTTGTCATCGGCATGGATGTAGCTGCCTCCGAGTTCTCTAGGTCTGGCAAATATGACCTGGATTTCAAGTCTCCTGATGACGCCAGCAGGTTCATCACACCTGACCAGATGGCTGACTTGTATAAGTCCTTCATCTGAGACTACCAGTGGTGTCCATTGAAGACCCCTTTGACCAGGATGACCAGGAAGCTTGGCAGAAGTTCACAGCTAGTACAGGCATCCAGGTAGTTGGGGATGATCTCACAGTGACCAACCCAAAGCAGATTGCCAAGGTGTGGGTGAAAAGTCCTTCAATTGCCTCCTGCTCAAAGTGAACCAAATTGGCTCTGTGACTGAGTCTCTGCAGGTGTGCAAGATGGCTCAGTCTAATGGTCGGGGCATCATGGTGTCCCATTGCGCTGAGGAGACTAAAGATACCTTCATTGCTATGTTGTGGGGTGCTTCACCAGAGAAGACCACTCAGACAAAGTTTTGTTGAATGAAAGTAGTTACTGGCCAGGGCTACTACACAAGGGTGTCGGAACCCAAGTGTATATCCCCAAACCATCTCTAGGATAAGATTTTATACAGAGAAACCATAATCAGGGGTGAAAAATTTAAGTTCCCAAGCTTACAGGTGGAGAGTCCCCTTAATTTCTATTCTATTAGGCAACAATTACTGTTTTGCAGGAGCAAGCCAAGCATAACCCACAGAAACTATAAATCTGCAGTTAGCAGATGCTCTCCAGGACACTATGACCTGTTCCCAAGACAACTGGGGTCCAGCTGACATGTGTTCCCATACCCTGGGCCAACTGCCTGATAATTTCAGAGACTAGAGTCAGCCTAAACTTTAACATGGCCTAGCTATGGTCAAGAAGGTGCCCTATTACAGCTGACCTGGAGGTGGGACTCTGCACTGGGCAGATTAGGACTGGTGACCTTGCCAATCAGAGTGTTTGGCTAAGTACAATCAGATCCTCAGAACTGAAGAGGAACTGGGCAGGAAGGCCAAGTTTGTCGGCAGGTCCTTCGGAAACTCCCTGGCTAAGTAAAAAATGGTCCAGCCATCCCCAGAGCCCTTAGTCACCACTGGCTGCGGACCCTACCCCTGATATTGAGGCTGCTGGAGGCTGGCCCAGTGTTTGCCAGGTCTCTGTAGTTAGCTCCCCCTCCTGCCACTGCTTCCCTAGAGGTCCAAAGCCACACCTGACCACCTGGAGCCCTGTTGGAAACCCCAGCTCTGTAATCATGTGATTGGTCCAAATCATTGTTTGTCATCTCACTTCCCAACTAATGTCAAGAGCCCTCACACTTCCAGTGTAACCTATAAGGTGGCCACAGGCAAGATTCCCAGTGGCACTTTGTGCAAAATAAAAGCCCTAGTGACTCAAGGGAAAAAAAAAAGAATGTTTGAGATGTCCTGTATGAAATACACAAAAATTCAATAAAAATTTTTTTAAAAAGGTGGAGATTCTTTGAGGTACTGATATAAAGTCATTCATTCAAATACTCACACACACTTCTCCCACTCTTAGCAGTAATTACCAAGTGCCTTCCATGTGGCAAACAGAAAGGGAGCCTCACCATCCACTGTGAGAGGCAAACAAAACAGAACCAATCCAGTTTGAATTACACTTGTTTAAACAATTTTATTAAGAAATCCTTATAACACTCTTCAAGCAAATCCTTCATTTAAATTTTTTTTATTTTTATTTTATGTGTATGAGTGTGTTGCCTGCATGTATATGTAAGTGCATCCGTGTTGTGAAGTGCCCAAGGAGAACAGAAAAGGGTATCAGATCCCCTGGAAATGGAGTTACAGATGGTTGTTAGCTGCTTTGTGGGCACTGGGAAATCAAACCTGGGTCCTCTGCAAGAGCAGTCAGTGCTCCTAACCCCGCTGAGTCATCTGACCAGTCCTACAAATCTTAATTTTTAAAGTTCATCTCCAAGAATTCGACCTGAATCAGACCTTCCTTTAGAGATTGCTAGTCAACAGCACCATCTCAGAACTACAGCTGGCTAATGAGTCTACCACATGAACAGTAGATCTGAGGAATGGCAGAGAAGGACCAGGAAAAGAAAAAGAAATTCCTGTGAGTCCTTTTCACCAAGAATTTGAATCACTGAATATAGTCAGAGAAATAGTAACAAAACTAAAGAAAATACACCCCTCCAAAAGGAAAACCCTGAACATTTGTGGCTAGCAGGTCACTGCAGATGGAATGACAACCTACTAGAAATGGAAAGCAAACAACCCAAATTTTTAAGAGGCTCATGGCCAGAGCATTTTAGTATCTTCATGTTCTCCTGCCTGTACCTTCAGGGTGCTAGGATTACACCTTGTCTGGCTTACAGGTTATTTTAATTTTTTTTCATTTGAGAATATCTATTCACAGGCTACTTTTCACCATAACCATGGCCAATGTTAAAGAGAATGGACTATGGATTGACTGCGCAAGCTTCAAGCATTTTACGTGAACTGGTAATTTATGAATAACATAAGAGCTGTTCATAATTATCAATTGCATTAAGTAATTTTCCCACAGTCCCAAAGCTCCAACTTGAACTCACAGAAATCTGCCTCCCTCTGCCTCCAGAGTGCTGGGATTAAAGGCCTGTACCACCACACCCAGCTACCTTAAATTTTTAGAAGCAGATTGGCTAGGGCAGAGGATAAAGCCAACAATGTAAATAGCCAGGTGAGCTGTAGCCCACAGCACATTTTAATTGGCTTCTAAGAGTCTAATACAGCAGGAAAGAGAGTTTGCTATAAACATCTGTAATTAGATGGCTGTGAGAAGAAAGGTAAGAGTCACTAAGTACTCAGTCACCTGGAATGCTGCAGGTGACTGAAGAAATGCTGTATTCAGGAATGGACCAACTTCAGTGTCCCTTGGAGGACTTCTCATACCCAGTCTAGACTGCTGTTAGATTCCCTACCTGTCCCCACATCCACTGGGGTTCACCATTGGTTTTCAATTCTGACATCATCTGTTTTTAAGCTCCAAGTCACATGGAATGACCACTGGCATTAAGTAAGAATATCTCTTTTAAGGACATTAGACAGGAATGATCCAGTGAGGCATATAGATGCAGCAGACCATTACTCGGCCTTTACAAATAAGGAAAGCCTATCGTTTACAAAAACAAGGACGAATCTTGAGGATATGACACCAAGTGGAGTCAGTCAGTCACAGGAGTGCTGCAAGGTTCCACTTACAGGAAGTAGTATCTAAAGTAGTCAAACTCAAGAAGCAGAAAATAGGAAAGTGGCTGCCGAGGGCAGGGTGGAGGGAGAGCTGGTGTTCAGAGGGTTATGAAGTTACAGTGATGCACGAGGAATGAGCCTAGAGCTTACTGCACAAGACGGCACCTAGCGTGAACAACAGGCATGCTACACTTACAATTTCAAGAGGACAGATGTCCTGCTAAATGTTCTCACCACACCCAAGAGTGACACAGGAAACTTTCAGAGAGGATGGAGGCTTATTACCTCGATGATGGTGACAGTATCACAAATATATGCACCTGTCCAAACTCATCACATTGTCCATGTTAAGTACTTCCAGGATTTTCTATATATCTATTTTATCTTGATAAAGCTGCAAATATTCATATATTTACTTCAAAGGAAAAAAAACAAATTCTAAGTCAAATGTGCCAAAAGGTGAATGAAAATGAAGATCCTCAGAAGCTTGAGATAAACAGGTCAGAGATCTAATTGCGTTACATTATTGTATGAAGATTTAAGCAGAGAGAGAGGAGGGGGGCAATGGAGAAAAGAGGGTGGGATAGTGTTAACCAAAACCAAGGATGTATGAGAAACCCTTACAGAAACCCACTACTTTATTTACTTTTTTTTTTTTTTTCGGGCAGCCGCCAAGTGGCCGCTTTTTTATTTACTTTTTAAATGTTTTATTATTATTTTGTTTGTTTTGTTTTGTTTTGTTTTGTTTGAGACAGGGTCTCTCTGCAGCCTCGGCTGGCCTGGAGCTTGCTATGTAGACCAGGCTGGCCTTGAACTCACAGAGAACCACCTGTGTAGCAGGAGGCCTCCAAAGATGGCATGGATCCAGAGCCCTGGGATTCAGCGAGAGTTCATGTCACTTCCTGGCCTGTAAATAGCCCGTGAAAAGGAGCCTGCCAAAAGGAGCCCGTGCTTCTGTACCCTGCTCATGAGCCTAGTGACTGCTGATGCACACAGACTGTGCAGCCAGACCAACCAGAAAACAATACACTGACTAAAGGGACTTGGGGGCAGAGAAAGGGAAATATAAGGCCTGCCTTCTCTTGCATTAAACAAACTTGCAGCACCTCACCTAGTGCTTGCTTCCACCCGACTTCCGGCGTCTGTGTGTTGACTCTGTGCCTCTTGCTCCCACCCCCCTAATCAGCAGGAACCCAATCCAGGTCAGGGTCTTCACAGCTGGCCTGTGTGACACAGCTGCCCACAGTGTTGGTGACACCCAGAACCTGGGTTCGTTCGGTAAGTAGGCCCCTGGACTTGTCTGTTTCTTCAGCTGCTCGAGGGTGAGTGAGTAGCCCCCTCTTCTGTTCCCTCCACCCTGTCTGTCATTTTTATTGTTAGACTAGTTTGTTAGACCAGGGAGGCACACTCCGCCATGTGGTCCTGAAACCCATGTCAGCACCTCTCCCCTCTCAGCTCATCACAGTGAGTTCACATAAGGGCTGATCCACCCCAAACTCAGAGCCCAGGCTTCAGGTCACCCTGTTGCCTGTCCCAGAGACACCATGTGAGCATACAGCTGAAGGGGTCACAACCTTCAGAAGTCCCTCACTAAGCACAAGACATTTGGATCTGATACACCCTTACATGTTGGGGCGGTTTACATCTGAGTGGCTCACAGTGCTCCTTTGCTTCCTTTGTGCCCTCTTGGTAGTCACACTCTTGTACCTTTGTGGCAAATTCCGCTTCATAAGACCCTCCCACAATGGGCAATTTAAATCCACAATGCAGGGAACCACAAATGGCAGCACTCCAGGTGCTCCTTAAAACCAGAGGGTTGAAAGTGAAACCAAAAGATATCGAACACTTTTGGGATGAATCCATTAATTTCGCTTCTTGGGTCTCCCCTGAAAACATGTGGGACCCTGACACATGTATGTGGGTCCTCTTCCTGGCCCAAAAAAGGGAGGTCGGGTCAGGGTTCACTCCCCCCACATCGATCGTACCCATCCTCCTAACCATCATTGCTAGGCTTAAATCCTCCTCTCCTGAGGAAGTCATCTCGGCCCACAACAAGCACTGCCAGGAGCAATCTACTGTAGATCTGGCTATTACCTTGACCCCGGACCTCCTGGACCCGGAGGTGGACACCACCTCTGTGCCCACTTCCAATAAGGAAGGAGCTCCTTTGCCTATATCTCAGGATACTCTCCTAGAGTTACCATGCCCAGAAATTCCCCCACCCCAATACCCGTGGAAGGAGTTACTCTCTCCCCCCCAATAACCATCCCACCCCTTCCCCTACTACTGTGCCCCTCCCTCCTAGGCTGCCCTTCTTAAACCCTCACCCGCCTTTGTCCTCATTTCCAGTTAACGTTGCCCTGATGCTGTGCAGCATCCATGGCTGCCCACCCCCCTTGCTGACCTCGTTCTTATCTGCAAGGCAGCTGAGCAATCAGTCCCTGACTCCCCATATTTCAAACAGGTTCTTTGCCAGTGGTCCTTACATTTACAAACCCACTATGATTTCAATAACTTACTAAAGGCAGTCTTAGAATCCTCAGTCTTTCTAAACTGGTGTGCAGCCTATGACAATCAGGCTGAAAACCAGGCATGCCTAAATCTCCAATATGGCCTCAACATTACATTGGACATGCTCATGGGATGCAGACAATATACTGACCCCATCTCCCTATCTACTATTGGCCTCCATGCCTATTTCCAACAAGTTTCTGACTTGGCCTTTAAGGCCCTTAAATGTTGCTCCCCCGGTGACCCACAAGTCTTTTTCCATAATTTGATTCAACAGTCAGGGGAGTCCTTCACGGACTTCCTTACCTGAGTCACCGAGGCAGTAGAGCG